TAATACCACAACTTTAGAATATAGTGATTACGTAATAGAAACTTTTTCAATCGCCAACTATCAACACGTGAATAATCAATGTGTAAGTCAATTACCAATGTTGTACAACAGTGATACAATAGTGGTTTCAATTTTCCTCATCAGCGTCCAAACTAGTTAGCGTGATAGTTTTCGTGTACTGTTTTCGAGAGTTCGCTGTCGCTAATTGAATTTTACGGCTGTGAGCGCGTGTCCACGAGAGTTATGGGACAGTTGCTACTGTGTGCTATATCGTCGCTTATGTGCGCACTTGCGGTAGTAATTGCCGTATGCGACGAGAATTGCGCTAGTTAAAATTTTTAACATTTTTTTTCTTGTTTTTACTCATGCTTTGAAACACGAGAATTAGTTGCTTTGGTTCTCTGTTTGAATTTCAGATGGAGTTTGTAGTGCATCAAAAACTCTCGCCTCTCGTGTGCCGTTGATCTTATCGTGAAATTAACTTTAAACATATTTTGTCACTCACTTACGATAATATGCTTACAAACACGCGTTTGAACTTTTTAAGTTCCATTTTATACGTACTACTTAAAAATCTGTTTGGGAAGTTTTTTTTTGGTACAGAAAAATCGGTCACAGATATTTTATTTTAAAATATTCCTACAGACTAGCCTTAATTAATGTAATATTAAAAATAATACGACATTTCTTTCTTACTTGACGACTGACATTCACATAGAGTGATACTTGGTATAAGCTACCCCCCCCCTCACACTAAGGTGAGTGGTAATGGTGTCGAAGGTTAGGACGAGGATTTAAACTATTTTTCCGTACTGAACGAAATCATTTATCCTGTATAGTTACCCTCCTTGTTTTTGCTCTTGCAGGTAAATGGATTTGATGTTAAGGATAACTTCGGCTGCCTTTACCGTACAATAATAGAAGTCTTATCTGGGCGTACGTCACAAAGTCCGTGATTTTTTACAGAAATACTGGATAAGGATGACAACGTACTCAGGACACGTATGCAGTTTCATAAAAAAAGACTGAAATGAATAAGAAAATTGACAACGTACTCCTGAATGTCTCTGATCAATGCACATATTTTCCAAATTCATGCGAGTAATCCTTTTGAAACTTTAGGAATAAAAGAAAAATTTACTCTAAAATACTAATCGATGAGCTCAGGATCTCCACATAATTTGATGCAAAAATACTCTAATAACTCTGAACCCTAAGCTGATTACAATAATGTATTTTCTAATAGTGGACTAGCAACCATTGAATTGAGAAGTGCATTAAAAAATTTGGCGTTTGATTACACCAGACTTAAAGATTAAGTTTGGGGGGGTTATGGCTATAACTCAGTTAATGATTACTAAGCTATTTTTATTTTAGTAATCGATTTGATACGTATAAGTTGAAGTTTATTTGCAATTTAGATAGTAAGGTTTCACGGTCGTGATTTTACTAGTGTCAAACAATTTTGGGATTATAGTTTATCACTATAGGTTAGGGTTCTGACTTTTTATGCCTAATCAGATGCTTTATCGTCCAATTGCGTGTCTTACAAGGGTTCAACAAATTTTGTTTGTAAACCGCTCAAGATATTCCTTAAGTTTTCAACCTATCATCTATCCAAAGTTTAATAATTTAAAGTTATTAAGGGTTCTGGATCCATAAAGTTAGACTTTTAGAAGCAGTCTTCTCAATTTTCAAAAATATTTTTTACAAAGTTTGAAAATTAAAAACTTTGGAAAGTCTTAGAACAGATACTGATTTAGAACAGATACCATGTTTTGCTTTGAACATGTTTGATCCATTGCAAAATTTAAGTCTGTCAGCTTGCATCCTAAGAAACGTGGATGAAAGAAAGTTTGATGTACAAATTCCAACTGAAACCCTATTGAGTTGTACATCAGGTTTCGATGTGGGTATATATGATACGTGTGTACGTAGTCGTTATCTTCACGCCTTATGATCCCAGTAGTCCTCACATTTTCCAATAGGACGAGCTATTATGACTGATCTCACTTTCATCAAAAGTATATTTAAAATGCAAACGAAAAAAGAAATCGTCGATAATAGTACTCTATATTCAGTACATACACACGACGATTTGCTCTTAAGTGCATAGGTATACTCAATAACGATCGTTCCTGTGGAGAAACTTCTAGGTCCTCGCTCTTTTATGCCGTACCTTTCATAGAAAGTGGATCTTTCCTATACATCAAAGGGATGGAGAATGAACGGAAAAAGGGTTAAATTGGTTGCACGTCCCTTTGGAAAGGCTTGAACATGCTAATAGACGCACTTGCCCGTCAGCGAAATAATGACGGCAGTGCCTGCGCATTATGCGGGCAATTTCAGCACACTTTCTCTTTCTCTTTTGCTGTTTTTCTCTTCTTGGGTGTTCTTGCGCCTCTGCGTGTACGTTGGCGTCAACTCAATTCATACCATAAAGAGGTGAATTTGCGAATAAAGCTGAACGATTTTTACCGGGGCACCCACAGCATCATTAAACCACTTTCACGGCTCCAAGGATTTTTTAAAAGGAAATATGGAATGGGAGGTAATTCCATTCTTTAAAAAAGAATTTAATGAATCGTTTGGAAATGTTTGATACGATTTATTTTTGTTGCACATTTTTTTATGGGTTGTAGACGTTTGGGAACCGTTTTTTAATGAAAAAAACTTGTGGAATGTTGGAATGCCTCATTCATTTGGCCATGAGTAATTATGCTTACACAGCTATACTGTTGTTGAAGGAGTTAAGAACTTAACTATAGAATAAGAATTGTTGATAATGACAGAATGAAATAAGCTATCAGTTAAAGTGAGATGGATTAAACATACGACAGTAGTTTTTTCTTTTCGTTTAACTTTGCATTGGATCTTATGTGAACGCTGATAACTTTTCCTCCGGAAACTAAAAGAAGAGATGTGGATAGTTCTACTTTATTCCACTATGTACATTAATGGGTAAAACTTAGTACTAACCCTTTGACATTCAAGGCATGCGCTCACAGCATCAAGAGAGAGAACTTTCAGTAAGCTATGAGACGATACCGTTGACACAATTTTCTGACAAATCCTAAATTTTTAGCTTATTTCAAAGCCTTACCATAAACAATTTAGGCAATTTGCACCAAAGACTAATATTTGACCTCTGATTTAGGATTATCATCTTGGAGAATAGTAGAGTTCTTCTTTTCATTACGTGGCAAAACGTAATTTATTATTAAATTTTACTTGTACTTACAGTACTGAAAAAGTTAAACAAAATCTCTTGAGGATTAAGGAAACTGTATATTCCACTAGTCTACGCTTTTTTTCATTAAAACAGGCATCACAATAGCTACGCCGAATTGGATACGCGTAACATAGAGTCTTTTCAGATTACACGGTGAGAGATAGCCTTTTGAAATACAATTTTCTTTCCTCTGAGGATAAGTTTATACCACAGTTTTCGGTTATGGTCATTTAAAGATAGTTAAAAAAATACAATTCACTTTCCATTTTTTGTACAATATACTATTAGTTAGTTGTGACTAGCGCTGTCTTGTTTCACAGTTTACTGTAGTTACGTGGTTAGAGCTAAAAGTCTGTTTAGTAATTAATCGAGTTAATTATTAAAAAGTGCAAGGGTACGTCGTCCTTGTACTATATGGTTAAATGAACTGGCTACGTAACTACTAATACTATTATTTATTAATTATTTTATACCTTTTTTTAGTATCGTATGAACTTTCCAGCATTAACATACCCGATTATACAAAAGTGTACGTACATTTTTTGCTGAAAATTAACCTTCCAGAGCTTGTCAAAGTTAAGGAGTGATGGGCAGTTCCATATTGGCTTTCCCAGAGTGTCAGTTTAAAAAAAGTGAAAAAATTCCGGACATCAAAGTGGATACAACGAGAATACCGATATCGGAAAAACTTGTGAAAGAAAACTAGGGCTGAAAAAGGAAAGAAATATTCGCAAAAAAGACGCTTCGAATGTTCAAAATTTGAGATAATAAACAAAAAAGTTACAACTTTGAAACTTTCTTCCACCCAATATGGGAGTCTACTGAGCAAAACTATTTGGTAATTCACATAGTTCAAAGTTTGATAAAAAGCAATCACGAAATTTTCTCTGTTCCCTATACCGGAAGAGCTTGTACAAAAAGCTCCATGATGGTGCATATACATGTGTTTTACGAGGTTCCGACATTCAGCTAGGTCGACCAAGACCGCATGACAAACGGAAAGGAAAAGACAACGAGAACACCAACAACGCCGTCCCTTATATTCCCGTGGGTGGTCCAGGAATATCCAGGTTGGAACGCTCTGTACCACCTGCACCGCAATAGGTCGAAAAACAGCTCGCATTCCTGCGAAGCTCGTCGCTCACAGCACCACGTCTAGGTGGTAGGGCGTTTATTGCGTTGTATACAATTTCACCAGAGATAGCGTGCTTGAAATTTAATTTGGCACGAGGAGCTGAAAAAAGCAGCAAGGAATACTACAGAGGCAAAGAGTGCAAGACCGAGCATAACGCGACGGACGAGAGAACATTTCTTATACGATGTTAAAGTAGTCGAGCATGCTTAGAAGGGTTTAATTAAAACGGTTGGTGGGTCGTTAGTGATGACGCTTGCTACGAGTTACGGATTCGCGTTAACTGTCATCGAGTCATTTTTGATCGACTGAGCGCAAGAAAAGCCAATTATCGAGATTTCGTGTGTGTCGCTACGTTATTGGAGCACACGCTAGTGAGAACTAATTTTTCAAAAGCCTCGCAGTGTTGGCGCTAACGAGTTATTGACGACGAATGCACTTTGCTCCAATAATCCGGTAGCGTGAATTTCCGAGGAGCTTGTTATTTTCAGCTCTATGGTTGGTGAGGTTTGACATTTGTGTAATTCTGTGCGTTAAAAGAGGTAAAGTATCTTAAAAACTTGATTTACAACGATAAAAATATCAGCTGCAAGGATGCAGTATTATAATGTGTAATAGTCTCGAAAAAATTTGTAATCTAAGGAATTTATTTTTTATTTACTTTTTTCTTTTTCTTTGACCATCAGTCTGACGCTCAGCATGTAAGTGAAAAGTTCAATGAGTTCCTTTCAAGGGGTTTTTAATTATTGGTTTAATTTTGAAGTTAGAATAATGGAATTTTGCTTTGTTACAATATTTAAATAAATGTTACGAAAGTGATGTTACTGTCGTAGTACAAAAAAATGCTTTGCTACTGTTTCATCTTGCTTACATATTCAAAGGATTTGTTGAGAATAACACTTTGATAGCAAAGAAAAATTGTGTATTGATTTTCAATGTAACAGAAGGTGATGATTATTTTTAAAAAGTTCATCAAACAATTGTTGAAATCGTAACAGACATAATTTTTCACGGTCATGTACATTTACTTACGTCATGTTTGCACAACGTTTCAAAATTACTTACATCTTCAGGTTTTGACACTACACTATCAAGGTTGTGTCATTAATTTCCTGGTGTTACCTTCATTTTCGCATTATTGACATCCATGATAATGTTTGCTTGTATGTTTTACGCGATAACTAACTGTGCAATTTGCTATTATTGTGATTGCTGTAGTTTTATGCTAAATGTATTAACTAGTGAGTGAAATTTCAATGTCCAAACAACATATTAAGTCCCACTTTTGCAACTTTATACTATCAGATGGTACCAATGCACTTACATACAGCGAATACAGTACTTTTAAATCAACAGATCCTCTTTACGCTGAGTAACAATTTGCTTGAGGTACCAAAATGAAACTTATTTCTTAATATATTTGACTATTTATCAAATATTATTTTTATATAAAGTAACAAAAGTTACGGTAACTTTATAAACTTTAACACAATGCCATCTTTCGGAGCAAGCAAAAAAGCTCTTGGATTAATTACGTAAGGTATCGAGGTTTTGTTACAAACGTCAACTTTGTAGTTTTTCAAAATCGTGGCGAGACCAACTTTGGTTTGGTAATTGGCAAAACGAGCACCTGAAAAACAAAATTGATCAATCTAACATACATGTACTAATTCTTACACAGGGATGTGACATTATGGTTAAATTACCTATGCAGTTTCGGGGACCATCACCAAATGGTAAAAAGCAGGAAGGATGCCTTTCGTTGATGTTTTCTTCATCAAATCTTTCAGGATTGAAGGTTTCTGGATCAGCATAGTTGTTTGGATCGTGATGAATACCGTACACGGGAATCCAAACTCTTGTTCCTTTAGGTATCGTCACATTTGTTCCTGGAAAAGTATACTCCCTCATCGAACATCTTATAAGTGTTGGGGCTGGGGGATATTTTCTCAGTGTTTCTACAAGAGATCATGATTTTAACTTTATTCAATTATAATTATAATTTTTTTTTTATGATATGTTTTCCCACATATACTTACCATTAAACACTTTATGCATGTATTTCATACTCTTAATACTGTCAAATGTTAATTTTCCATTGTTTTCTTTGAGTTTTACTCTTATCTCATCTCGTAATTTATCTTGCACTGATTGATTCAAGGCCAACGCGTACAAAGCATTGCTTATAGTAGTAGAGGAGGTCTCGAAACCAGCAGCAAAAAATACAAATGCCTGAGCGGTGATCAGTGTATCCGTCAACTCTGGAAATGCAGTTTGAATTTGGGTTTATTTTTATACGTAAGGCTTAGTAAAATGGATGTAATGAAAAATTGTAGACACTATGATATGTAGAAAAAAAGTGAATATTGGTGAATTATAATAAAAATTTTTTCATTTGGTTTGGTACATAATGACGTCTTAAATATACAATCGTCTTACGAAAATTAATTCATATTACTAATGTCAACTAAACAACTGAATGCATAAGACATTAGTTTAGGGAAGACGAAAAAATGAATAATCACATTAATCTAACTTTCTTACAGCACAAATGAAACAATTAGTTACATAAAAAATTAGTATAATAACCCCTTTTTTTGCCATCAAAAAAAAAGTATTTTTATATAAATTTGTTAACTCTCGAAATTTATGTTTTCTGACAATCCTTTGTGTGACCTCCTAAGATGCGGTATAGCTGAATTCAAGGCCTCAATTGCACAACGCCAACACGTTTAGCGCTACTTCCTCGTTTCAATTACCCACAATTAATGATAGCTTACCTACGTGATGAAGTTTATCAGGATTCTTCTTGATCTCCAGCAGCAAGTCGACAAAGTCATTTCTCTTGACTTTACTCTCGGTTCTAAGCTTCAAGGTCTGAGCCATCGTGTTGATGAAAAATCCATTCAGCTCGTAATCGTACATCAGCGGTCCCAAAAGGCTGAAAAGCCAAGGAGCAGCATCCTTGATTCTGAGTTTGATCATCCTTAGAAGCGAAATATCAAAAATCTTTCGGCCCATTCTGCGAAACTCACTTTCCTCTTCAGCCAGTGCGTTCATCTTCAATCCAAAAACACACGAGCCGATCACGTCAGTCGTAAACTTGGCCGTAATATCACGACACTCGATCTCCGGGTTCTTTGCTGTCGCCGTTTCAAGAAAGTCCTCAAAATGATCGGCACACTCAGTCAGCAGATAAAACATTTCCCTCAGTTTTCCGGAGGTGAAGGTCGGGGACAAGTTCGCGCGCAAGGGCTTCCAGCGCTCGGATTCCAGGAACAACAAGTGCTGACTAAGAGGCTCGATCTTCTCGTGGATCTGCACTCCTCGATCGCAAAACGCCGAAAAGTCCTTTATCAAGACGTTCTTCACGTACTCGGGATCCTTGACTATCAGGATTGGAGTTCGTCGCGCGAAAATACCGAACATCGGCTCATCCTTGTACTTCTGGCAGAGCTTCATCAGGTACTCGCTCACGTGTGACTTGTTGAACAGTACATCCTTGAAATTGCCGAAAAACAGTTCTGGGTTGGGCCCAACGACCCCACGGCTGCGCCAAAAGTAGAAAGTTGATGTTAAGTAATAATAGAGGGCTACGGCGAGTGCGGCAACGCCTGCCAGTAATTCAAAGGAACTGCGCTCCATCGCTTGTTGACGCCTCAAGTGTCGGAAACTCACTGATGACAGCAGTACACGCGAGCTACTTCACCTATAAGATACGTTGAAGCTTACATATTACCTCGTAACGTCAAGGTGCACTTGAAAAAACTTCGTAACTGCCAGTCATCAATGGAAGCAGAATTTCCAGTCATGGTGAGAATATGAGATACGTGACTTGAAGCCAACATTGTGACAAATTAAAAGGTTACTTAAGATGACAATATTAACTAATGAAGTTGTTTTTTGTTTGTACATAAACTGTTACGTGGGAAAGCGGTAAGGTGGAAGTGGTTAACATTAAAGTGAGAAGATATAATAATTAAATAGATTTACATTAAGTTGTGATAAAAGTCTGTTGCATTATTCGCAACCATTCCTTATCATACTAAATTATAAGGAGAGTATGCGACTATCAACGTAAATATATTTACTAAGTTTTTGCTTATTTCTATCACATACTATTTGAACGCAAAAAAATGAGGCCTCAAAAACAAAGGGAAACTTGTTCAATGCATTGTGAATTAACATAATTATGGCCAATTATTGTTCTGCCTCATTACACGGAATAATCTTCAATCATCGTCGATAGCCGTGACTTGCAACTTGTATACACGTGTTTCACTTGATGTTTTTTCATTTTATGAAGGTATAACAGATTTTTGCCATAGCTAATTAATTATAAATAATTTTTTTTTGTATTTTAAGAACGGAGAGAGTAGAAGCATAGCTAAACATCGTTTTTAAGTCATATCACATGATATATGATTACGTTATACAATTTATTCCTTTATTTCACAGGCACATAATAGTATATCTAACCGTATCAAACGAAATTATTGTTACTTTACATCAAAGTAGTCCTTGGTTGATAGTTAAATACATTCATAAGTTTATTTTATTTTGGTAACTCCAGAAAATAATTACCAAGCATAGAGAGGATTTGGTGATTTCCTAGTATAGTGTTCGCTGCGTACAATAAGCAACTTGTTCTGTAAAAACTCAAGGTGCATAAACTTCTACAATTGATTTCTAAAATCCTATTAACTTTCGGTGGATGATACCATCTACCAATGGTCCATTAGAATTTCTTATGCCCCAAGAATCAAAAAATATTGCTGATAATTATAAGTACGGTGGAAACATCTTGTGCTTCTCACAACAATTACGCGGAGATGACTGTCTGGCCTAAACTACTTATTTTTATTCAACAGTAATCTTTGAACAAAAATTTTTTTCTCTTAAACTAGTTTACCAAAACAAATCGACAAGTAAAAATAAAGTATGTGATATTCAAGGCATACTGTTAAAAAAATTATTTTCGATATCAACATTATGTACATTTCGGTTGTACATTAACGACCCCTTTCAAGCAAAAAATAAGTAACGTTGAATATTTACTAAATTTTTATACAACAAAAGTTATATTTTATTAACTTAAAACAATTAACGATCTAGTTTTTTTTCGATACAACGCGTACTAAGGTGTCATATGACATGTATACTTATGTTAATTATACAACTGAAGCGTTGTACATTCTTTTAACATCAAGAATAAACTTTTCGACAGCATGCCAGGAATATCAAGTATTTTATTTTAACATCTTCACTGTAGTTTGAATCAAAGTTTGTAGTTGACAAGTAATTATTTTTTCTCAAACTTTTCTTATCCATTGATTTGAAATATCAAAATATATTATACTCCGGGAACCAGAGCAGTAAAGAAGTTTCACACTCTGACTTAGACTAGGAAGATAATGTACATTCATGTGATTGGATAAATGTTTCAGTTTTTCTTTTAGATGTGTTATGATTTGCATTCGAAATGTATTTTGCGAAAATTTTTCTCACGAATAACTAAAATAGTACATTACGCCACTAGGGTGGAAACTGCTACTTCCCGCCCTGGGCGTACTTTTCGCCCGCTGAGTACTTTCAGCCTTAGGGCCTGATAACCCAAAGTACTCGGAGGGCTGAAAGTGCTCTTAAAGGCGTGAAGGCCTCTACTCAATTAGCGTATCCTATTTTTCTCTTTAAAGTTGCAAAGTGAGGTTGCACTAACTGTCTGGTTAATAATAAGATTAATGAAAGAGTACCCACAGGATTTAAATTCTAAAAATTACAAAAAAAATTTCCCAATGAAGTAAATGCATAGTGTTTTTTGCAAAAATAATTGGCAAAGTACTTAAAAAAAAATATAAGAGAACTTCATTGTCTTTTACAATACTTTCTAATAATAGTTTATTAAAAATGAAATACCTTACTGCCTTTGTCTGGCAGTAATATTGTTCTGGTAGTTTTTTTTTCACTACTGAACATTGAAAGGAAGAATAATTACTCTTGTCAAAAGTACGGCTCATAATGATTTTATATTCATAAATACGACGAAGTTTTCTAGACTATCTTTTAAAGAGGGACGTATTTGACAGGGGAGCAGTTACATTTTGTAGAGAGAGACGATACGAAAGAGTACACTAAGTTTTGATATTATTAGGGAGTAGAATTAGAATTTTATTTTTTTATTGTTGCTATACTAGATATAAAAAGATAGAGAAAAAAAAAAAAAAGATGTATTCACTTAGAGTGTTACAGGTACATGAGTGCGTAGTATAATAGGCATGATCAACGAAAGAATAATTACGTGTTAACTTTAAGCAGCTTATATTTATTCATCAAAGCTAAAAATAGATATATACATGTTACAATAGCATAAAACACATATTTAGCATACATTAAAAATTACGCTGTATTTTGATGTACAAAATTCTGAGACGTGAGAACATAGAAATTAATTTAAAGAATACCATACTTAAGGTAGAAAAATCGCCGCCTCTAAGAAATCATAGGTTTCTTAAATTTTAAATATATTATACATGGAATTTTTGAATTTTATCGAACATTTTTTACAGTTAACCGTACTGGCATTCGTTTCTAAGATATTAAAGTTCAAAATGCGTCTTTTTTATTACCATAGGTACAGAATTCAACTGCGATTAGTGTCCTCGGGCCCCACTTTGCGCCCTTGTAATCCCTTTTGACCCAAAGTATTTTTCCTCTCTGAGGCCAAAAATCATTGACTGGGCGCGAAGTGTATCAAAATTATAATTTGCGCTTTCGGTAAGAAAATAATATACCCGACTTGGGGACCAACTTACAACTGCGATCTTCAAGCGCTCACGTTTGTACTTTGCGCTCTAGTTACGTGCTGTACCATTAACATGAGCTGTAATAAGGCACAGCAATAACAATATTACAGATATACGGAACAAATCAAACTATTTTTGTAAAAATACTGCACGAACTTCATTCGCTTGACTGACTCGTTCCACGGATTTTCAACCTCAACAATACATAACTGAGTATACTTTATATCATGACTATAGCTCTTTGTTGCATGATTATAAAAATAGCAAAAGTGGTTGTATAATAACTCCATATGATATTACACTACTTATCATCTAAAAATATAGTATTATGTACATGCTCGAAATATATAATATATATTTCTGATATACTTCAAGTATAAAGAAAGTTTTAATATTACTTGGTAACTCTTGAAAATACTTACCGATACAAGCAACGTTTCGTTTATTAGAAAAGTATCTAGAGCCTCAAATCTGATTTCTGAAGTTCTGCAGCGATAGGAAAACACTAATAGCTGAGATGTTATACTTGCAGATTTTACACTGTCGTTGTACATCAAACATTTTACCAACTGATTGTGAATAATTTTAGTCTGAATAGATTAAGAAGTTCAATAAAATTGTAGTGATAAAACAAAACTTTATAATGAGGTGTGTATTACCTGTTCAATTACCGAGCTTGCAGATTTTGTTAATAGTAAGAACATATAAAGTACATGAAAAATAAATGATATTACGAATGTAAGTTCTTGTATTGTAGGTGAAGTGTGAATGAGCATCATCACAATACGGCGAATAATATTCCAAACACTAACGAAATAACTTGTAATGCAAATAAATATTACTGTAGAGTAAAAGCTCGATAATTCGTTTGATACTTCAACTAATAACGAGTAAATTTTTTGTAATTTTACTATGTCCAGTATTTTTTTTCGTTCATTAGCGTAACCCACTAAATTCATAGTTGGCCCACCAGTGGACTTTTCAAAAGTGTTTTTCAGTTCATATCAAATCATTTTAAACGATTCTTCAATAAAAGTACAAAAAATTATATACTGTAACACGATTGCATCTACTATCATACTATGGAGGTTATATTTTAAAGTAGTTAATAATAAGCTCCATCGATGAAGTTTATTTACTTGCTTTGTACTTTGTATCATTTGAAATACTTGTAAAATATACCATATTAGTGGAACACAAATACGTCTTACATATGGTGACGTCAATTTATTATTTTTTAAATAACTTTTTGATGCGTCTTCTAATTCTTTTACTAAATTTACTTTTTCGAAAATAGTGATAGTTGTCTTTTGTTTCACAATTGATCGAATCACAATAAAATTTTCTGCCAAAATTTGGAATGTATGCCCAATGATAACGTACGCTTTCGTGATCAAAGTTACATCCTGAGCTAAATAAGTTAATGTATTTTGTACTTTAAAATGATTATTAATAAGTAGGAATGCCAGTAAACAAATACTGTAGGCCATCCCAGTGTAAGAAAAACTAAAAGACCAACGTTTTGAATTATTATTGTTTATTGGGATTTCTTTGAAGTTTATAGCTATGGTCCCCAGCATTCGATTATAAAAGTAAAATAACTTTATTAAAGAAATCGTTGACAATTTGGTTCCTACACTTGACATTAATTTAGCAAACATCGTAGCCGTAAAAGTTATGGGAAGTGGAGAGTAATTACATTATAGAAAATCAATTTCTTTTTTATTTCTGCGCTTACTTTTACCGATATTTTCTAGTAATAGTTTATATACGAATTGGAATTGTATTATGTTATAAATATTAAATAATGTACTAAAAAATATAAATATTATATATAGTTTTTCTTCAACAATTGA